CGAAAGCTTTTTCATTTTGCTTTTTTTCCTAGAGCTCACTTTGTTTAGGAATAACTCCAGCTAGCATCATCGTAGTGCTTCCATTTCTATCAACAGTTTATCAGTCGTGGTTGAGAGCGTTGTGACATTTTCTTATTTATCGCATAGACTGCTTTGTAGAAATATCTAAGAATGAAGGCAGATTTTTTTTAAACAATAAAGAGCATGTAGTAACATTCCTTGTTTGAAAGTAAGCACATATAGGTGCCACCTCTGCCACCACTGAGACTTCCCAGTAACTAGGTTACTGTTACCAGAACCATGAAAGCTGGGAAAACCCATTCAATTATCAAGTTCACTCATTTAGCAAGATTACTGGGTACACATATCCAGAATCAATTAATATCAGTGCAATCACTTGACAACTAGGGAAAAAATTCAGGGAAACGGAAAAGGGGAGAAACTCCAGAGAAGGTGGGTATAAAAAAGAGGAGCAAAGGGAAACTTATTGACAGGTTTTACTGCTCACACTGATTAATTAAAGCAACATGCTTTTGTTACACACATGCATCAGAACTGGTTCACACACCACTATGCATACCTGCTACAGGTGTATTTGGTAATATATCTGTAACCTATTTAGCAGAAGGTTGATTTGACGGGATTCACTCACAGTTGTTTGTAGCTGGAGGGGTGAACAGAAATAGCTTGGTCCTTCTTCTTAGACCATACCTAGAGAACTGTTCCCTCATCAGCAAGACCCTCCCTCACACTGAGAGTCCTAGCAAGGCTTGGTCCTATCACACATATTATTTAAATCTTGGCCAAGTTGTTGAGGAAACTGGTGAGATGGGGCTGAGCTGTCAATGGGAAGTGTGGAACACAGAGTTTTAAGTCTTTTTGTCAACAACGTCATCAATGCCACCCTCATGAGATCAAAATACAGATAAAAAGAAGCTATCTGATGTCAACCCAAAGCAGGAGCAAGCCACCACTTCAGGAACACGGACTGGCATAAACGCGTGGTAATTACTACTTTCTTTCAGGATACTCAAAGCTACAACTGAATACTAATGGTATTTTACCACTAGCTGATCAATGTGATGCAAAATCTTAAGAGTAGATGGGTCAAACAGGTCTGTTGCTGAAGGAGAACTTAATTTTATTTATTTATTTATTTATTTATTTATTTTTTAATGCAAGGTCCGTGAGAGTGAAACTAGTTACTTGAGAAATTCCTAGATATGATTTCAATAAAGTTTTTTAACTCACGGAGATATATAATCCACTGGTGAATACAGACATACAATTCAGAGAAAATACATTTTGATACCAATACGCTAAATAGCTTGAATAAGATGGGCAAATCATTAATTGCAAATTGTCCACTGGAGAAACGTCCTCTGTGGAATAATTGCTACCGTTACATGATATACCTGGGAGTAAATTGTTTTCTGTGCTATTAGATTCAGAGCTTCCATAGAAGTTGTCCTAACACACAGAAAGATGAGAACATAAAATTGCTGCTAGCTCCTACCTGAAGCATGATCATCCCAAAAAAACATAACTGAAAAAAGATGAGAGATTATAAGCTTGAAGCTGACAGAATTTCCACTGCAGCTGGATATGGATTATGGAATATAATTTTGGAACTAATAATAATGCCCTGGTAAAGTTGAAATGTTAGAGCTACTGCAAAGCTTTTTCAATTCAAATAGCTTTCCCTCCCCAAGTTCTCCAAACATAGATATCACACACACGCTCACATGTAGAAACAAAACCAAACCTGCAAATGAATTAGCTATTTCTCCCACTGCCTGAAAGGAACAGAGATTAGTTTTGTGATCAGTATTTTTAAGCACTTGGGAAATACTCAGATACCATGGTCACAGCATTCATGTAAATAAATAAGTGGGTGGGGTGCATGGAAGAAAGGAAGCAAAACAGAGAAAGCAGGGGGAAGGGAAGCAAGATGGAAAAATGAGCTGAAATGCTACGCCCCTAACAGTCTTCATGACGCATCAGGTATAACACAAATTCCCTCCAACAAACACACCCAAGTAAGTGTTCATTTAGGGAACACTTAGGGAATTTACACAAAGAGAATATTAATAGTAGGAGTAAATAAAATTCAGTTCAGCCAATTTGACAATCAGATGAGCAGGTACCAACTAAAGATTAGGTGCTCTATTACTTAAGCTCTTATGTCCATGAAACAGTAAAGGTTTTGAAATCCCATAAAGGTGAAATTCAAGTAAAATAGAAAGGGGGGGAACAAACAAAAAACTCTTTTACAACAAATATATCTGAAGGGAAATTCTGGCCCCTCAGGCACTCAAATGTTTCTGAATTTATTAGCACCACTTTCTTTGCTGGTTGTTGTGTTTTCTCTCTAATTGTGCTCGTCATGTTTAACAGCTCAGTCTATCATTTCTGCAAATTAATGAAATTGCACTATTGCTGTAGGTTCTGATCAAGGCTGATGTGCAAATAGATCTGTGGGTCAAGCTACAAATAGATTTTGTAAAAGAAAAGGATTGGGAATGTCTGTGGTTTAGATCCTGATTCTTTTGCAACTGAACAGTTTTTATCCTTTCCTGCCTTACAGTCTTGTGTAGGCTCACTATTTGTTGTATTGCATTTCAAAGGTAGCAAAAATAGTCTCTCTATTCACAAAGCTGACTTCTGAAGTATTTTCTCAGCTAAAGCTGATGAGACTTTTGCTTCAATAAGCATTCAAATACAGATTTTCAAAGGATACCTGCTATTTTTCCTTTTGCAAAACTCCCCTTTGGATTGAAGCCTGTCCAAGGTACAGTCTTAACATACTACTACCATGACCCAAAAGTATTTTTGGGAGATCCTTCCCTGCAGTGTCAGGGTGCTCTCTTTTCAAGTTTTGATTGTAGGTTAGGTCAGACATAAGCTCAAGGGGTCTTTTTCACCAGTTCTGTTCATTAGTGAACAGTGAGATCTGGTTCTATTCTCACTTATCCTTAGTTAACTTGGCAAGAAGAATATCAGCATTGGGTAAAGACGAGAGGATTTTTAATTTGCTTTGGTTCCTCTGGAAAATGATATAATTGCAGAAGGGTAAGCAAAGTAGATATTTGGATATTAACATGGCAGTACTTTGCTTTTCTAGGCACAATTTATTCCTACTTCGCATCTGAACCTAACTCTAATCTAACTCAAACCGGGGTTTCAAAGGTTTACTTGCAAATAGTTACATGCATCTTTAATGGCCTTTCCTCTCATGTTCACTGTCACTTCCTTTCCACACATTTTAACTCTGAAAGCTTTTGACTGTTTCTTCATTATTTATGACATTGTTGTGTCTTTTCTTGTGAAATTAAAAACTTCTTGCCACAAAAAGCTAGCTAATAATATGGCACATAAATCTTACTTTGACAACATTTCATTCTATATATGCCAAAAATAAATAACCATTGTCAATAAATGACCAAACCAAGGCTCCTGACCATGCTTGGCATCCGACCAGCTTAATGCACAGAATGGTTAATACTATCTAAATACAGAAGCTAGAAGAGTTTGCAATTTATTGTATTGTCAGCACCACACTGTCTGAAAAAAAGAAAAAAACCCAATAACACACAGTTGTTTTGATACACTCACTGCTCCAATTGAAGGTAGTGCACTTCAGCTACAGGGGAAAGACTAAATGAAAATAAAGTACAAAAAGATCTTTGAACATTATCTCCAATCAACTGGTCATATAATTAAAAAAATCCATTAACTCTGCCAATATAAAACACACAGAACAATGTCTTTCACTCACAGTATCAAGGTTGGCCACACGTTGCTATATTTGCAGTAACGTAAGTACATAAGGTGTTAATCCTCCTGGGCTGTGCTAAAAAATTATTTAACGTTCAGACTATTATTTAGCATACAGCTGGTTAGCAGTTTTCCCCTAAAATGTTGGCTTTGATCCCACATTTTTTTGTTCTGGCACATACCTGGAGCTGTAAAGGGCTGAGTCCAGAAGCAGCAGCAGCTGCCATTGTTGATGGAATGAACTGCACAGGGTAGTTATCACCTGTCGAGAGAACAATGCATGCAGGTTCAGACAATGAGCAGAGAATAGCAGCAGACAAGTGCAAACATGGACCTAGGATTGCCTGTGCTCCACAGCACTCCTCTAAGCCTAAACATCTGCAAAAACAAAAGGCTTCGCTGGGCACCGACTTGCCATGCTCCCTTGGAACTTTTTTGTTAGCAGATAGCTGGTAGGCAAACTGGCAAAACATAAATATGATACTCGTGATTTTCATTTTCAAAAGCAAATATTCAAATCAAGCGTGTAAGCTTGGGCACAAAATGGGCCTTAAGGCCATAGACACACAGACAAGATACCCCAGGAAACCCCAGCAGTTCCCAGAGGAAAAAAATTGTTGTCGCCACATGTTTCTTAAAACAGGAGAAATTTGTTATAACCCAAGACATTTCAGCCCTGTTTAATGCAGGGTGATTTCTTTTCAGTATCGAGTGATACAGTGATCAATATCGAGAATACAGTGATCCTGGGAAAGCTACCTAGCTGGCTCAACACAGGTTGAGGTTGTTTCTTGTTTTGCTTTGAGGTTCTCTGTCTTGGGACAACTCCTTTAAGGTAGCCAGAGAGAAAAATAAAATTAAATAACTTTTAAATATAGCTCAAAATATAATTTTAACTTTCTCTTAGATCTGGGACCCTACTGAAGTTGATAGATAATGTAGTTGTTCAGTTACTAAAATTTCTGTGTTCTGTTCACTGGAAACTGAAAGTGTGTGCCCTCTGCATTGAGGGGACAACAAATACTCCAGAAAATAAGAGATACTGTTGATCCAAAATAAGCATTGCAACGTCGTATCATATAGCATCTATGGGTGTTCCCACTTCTGAGCCACTGCAACAATGCATCACACAGTGCCATTGAGATGCTTAGTCAATGTAAAGAAGGAAGGAAGGCTGAAATAGTTTAGCAGTGTAATCTGTAATGTAAAAATTAATACAGTGCTGGATAAATTACACAGTAGCTATGATTTAATGGAATATCACTTTGGCTCAAGCTTCTTATTTGAAGTCAGTGTTATGTACTATCTGTAGGCTACATTTTAACAGGCTGCTCCTCTGTACATTTTTGAGATTTACAATAATCAGTCTGTTTTACATGAACTTTTCCACACTGAAAGCAGAATGTAGCGATGAGGGAAAGTTCAGAAATCCAAAATAATATAATCAGGACATTCAAGAGTTAGATTTTTTTTTTCCAACCCCCTCAAATAAATAACAATAGCTGAAGTCTTTGCAGTCACTGGATTTCTCAGAACTCTCCCTTTTTACCACCTGAAGCGCTATTGTATTCAGCTCAGTTTAAATGTTCGGTTGTTTCACTTTTTTAATAAATTGTACATGTCTAATCCACAAGTTCTCTTTGCATCATATCCATAGTACCTCACCGGACCATTGAGCACAGTATGTGCTTGTACACAGTCCAGTAACAATTGGATTCTGATTGCATATGGAGCTCTGCTACAATGCATTCACTAACACTATATTGTACTGGTGTCCTATGGAGGAGTAATGTTCAAAATATCTCCTCTTATTTTCCCCCTTCCATGAGGTTGATTTTTAGTTTGCAATGATGTTGGGTTTTTTTTCTTAAAAAAAGCAACAAAAAACCCCCCTAGATCCTTTTCTTAAAGTACTAAAGCTGTCTTTTTATGGTTAAATAATTCTACTAATCTCTTTGATATTTATATGAAATTATCTGAATAAATAAGTTCCTAACCTAAGTTAAATAATGTTCCTTTCAGAAATATCTTACAAGGTTTTAAAAAAAATTACAAAGATGTTGAATTAATGATGCTTTAAATGTGGGGAAAATAACCATCCGAGTTATCAGCATGGACTGCCTTGCAGAACATTTCGGAGGCATTCTTTCTTTAAATATCATGAATTATTCATTTCTGTTCCACACAGCAATCTCTTCTTTCTCCCTCCCCCTCCACATAGACTTTTTAAGTTCGATACCAGTTGCTTTATTTGTACTAAAACATTTTCCATGTCAAACATTTTTTTTTAAAAATCAAACTCTAAAAGAACTCCCTGCGGCACTCCTTTTTCACAGCTGTCATGGTCCTGTGGTTTGAAATAGCCCGATATTTTACGCACACGCACGCACACAGTTTTTGGCTGCACAGTTAATTTAATAGTATCTCTACCACACCCTGTAGTGTTCTCTTGCTCACCTGCTGGCTACAGTTCCTTCTTTTGTTATGGGAAAAAGAATTTTATAGTTATGCCATTTATTTGTTATTATAACATAATACCGTCCCTTTCCCCCTCATTTTAATATGTTAAATTATGGCTAAGTCCTGGTATGTTAGTAGTATCTTTGTGCTGAGAACAAAAATTAATACTCTCTCAGCTCTGGAGTACTTTGCTGACACCAAGCAGTAAAAGCAGAGCAAAGGTACTTTTTTTCTCCCTTGAGGAAACTGAGCATGCAGGGAATGGACCGGTTTTAATTTTTAATTACAGAAGGTACATTTTTCCCCCTCTTGTTTTGTCAGTGCAAGAATGGATCAAGAAGCTTCTCAGTAGCTGTCTTGGAAAGAAATCAGTCGATGCATTGTAGCAATTTTTTTCAAATTTGTTTCTTGATTTGGAATGCGTGCGTGAGGATCCATTCTTTTAAATTTGTACAAAAGGCGGCAGAACATGTTCAAACAGGTCTGCTTTAGGTGCTGGTGTATGCTGGCCTTTGATAACCAGGAGTGAGAAGAATGCCGGAAGAAGAAAATCTGTCATGTTTTGCAAACTGATCTCTTCAATCTCCTTGCTGTGCTGATTGTCTATTTACATTTGGCTGCTGTTGTTTATATATAAATTGGTGTTTACAAGCCACGGAAAAGTATGCCAGACTTCTGTTTCATTTGTCAGGTTGAGCAACATTTCCAAATGAATAAAAGCAGCGAGCAATTGTACCATGCTATTCTACATAGAAATAATGTAAATGTTTCTTTTTGTCTTGGATGAAGCAATGAAGCTTAGTGGACTTTATTTATAGGATGTATGGACTTACTTTCCAGATCAAGGCTTTGTGAGCTATGAGGAAAGAAGGATGTCTGGCTCTTGTGAGACTCAAGGATAGGGGGAAGGTGTTGCTTTATTACCCGTCTTTCCTAAAATACAATTGTAAGACACAAGCTGACTCTCTTCATCTGACTTAAAAAGCTTTTGGTTTGATGATGGTTCCTCATTTTGGGATTGTAACTTAAAATGTCTCTTTACGCATGGATCTCAAACTGCCACTTGCACACTCTCCATGTGGAATCACAGAATAACAGGAAACAGAGTTGGAAGAGACGCGAGAGATCACAAATTCCAGGGCCTCACAGGCATAATGAACAGACCGAGGAAAGCATACCTCTCCTTAGGGTGTTGTCAGGATACAGCAAGGATACAGATGACCGCTCCTGCAGTATTCCCACACAGGGCATGCATTTTGTTTGTGCAGCACCATCAGGATTGAGGAAGATGTTAACAGAGGTAACTGGCTAAGGCAATACTATGGAGCATCTCCTCTGTCCGATGACACTACCTCAGTTCTGCCTTTGTTCTGAGCAGGGTTTGCCACAACACTGCCTTATTGCCATCCTCATGTCGCAGCAAAATCAGTTGCCCCAACAATTGTCTGTCCGCGGCTAAAGAATTTCAGTGCAAAATCCCACTTGAAAATATTCAGCTGCCTACTACCACTTCCAGATCTTACCTCAACATTTAGGAGTGAGGCACATATGGACTGCTACAACAAATCCTGAGGTTACCAATTCTTTGTTCCAACTAGTAAAACCCAACAGGGAACACATGACAGACTTTAACTCAGTCCTGGGGAATTTCCATTAGAAACAAGACTCAAGCAGCACCTCTGCCATGCAAAGATACACAGCCAACTCAGTATACAGTTGATTTGATGTACGCTTTCTGTTCTCACCTGCCAAGAGGAACAGCAGCCTACTGAAAATGGAGTACTGTGCTATGTAAAATTTAAACCACCTTACAGCTTTAAGAAAAACTTCTGGAAGGCCTGTTCCAAATGGAAACTGCAATGATGGGTATCAGTGAAATCCAGCAGATCTAAGATGATGTTAGTTATGTGGCTACTGTAATCAAGGAGTTTAATTAGTTTGATGACAAATATCTCACAGTATTGGAATGTTCTGAGGTCCAGACAGATGACAATAAGCCTGACAGTTTTGTTTGTCGTGCTTTACCTAATTTTATTTTCATTGATTTCAAAGGAGTTACTGTTGATTTACCCCATTTACCCCAATGCAAGTAGGAACAGAACCAGGCCAAAACGTTGGCTGCATTTCTATTTTTGCCACCAGCCTAGGAAAACAGCCTCCATCTTCACATTTCTCTTGTAAATTATTTTTGTGTATAAAGCAGAATGACCTAGGTAGGCAGAGAGGATTTGTTTCTTAGCCATTCTAATCATGGTCTTTATATACTGTATGTATGAAATATGAAGAAATGCTTTGAAAATACACTGCAGCATATCACTCTACAAACCTTTTTAAATAGAGATTTACAATCTCCATACCTCAATGTCTCTATTTTCAATAATCTTTTTCAGAGATACTTTCCACATCTGGTAAAGAACTGATATAATACAAAATATTTGCAGAAGACTATCAAGCAAAAGTGATCATTCATTTCCAAGTCACACGGACTGCTGTTATGCAGCCAGCATGGAGAGCAGCCCTCCCACTCTCTGCTCAGAGCAAACGGTAGCTCTGTTTGAGCTCTGCTCAAAGTATGGTCTGGCTCCTGCCCAGCGTTACTCTATATCTTTACTCTGTCATCATCCTACTTCCCCATTCCCTCTTAGCCACAAAACTTGAAGGAAGTAATACTTTAGGCACTGCAAGATGGAGGAGGGAACTGTCGTCCTCCTTATCCCACTCACTGTCTTCTCCTCCTGACCCAGGGCACTAATGGGGACATGCTAATCACATTCAAGGATACTCCAGCCCACTAACTTTTCCTGGCTGCGTGTGGTTGGTTAAGTGAAGGGAAATTTGCACTGGGAGAGGAGGTATAATGGTACTTATGTTACCCACCAGTTCCAAGTAGTAAGTATAGTGGTCACAGTCAGAAAGCCAGCGCAGTTGCTTTGCTGTACTTGGAATGCAAAATAATTATATTAACTGTGTAGCATCTCTGAGCAAGTATTAGCTTCCTAACAGCTGCCACTCTCGGCTTCCCACTGGAATAAATGGCAACCCCCACAACCAGGTACTCTACGAGGCTCGTCAAGCGCCTGCAGGTCAATAGTCACAACAGTCATTTGAGATGCACAGTGCCCTAAAGTTTTAATTAATCCACTATACAGTATAAATACTGAAATATGTATAAAAAATTAATTAGGTGGTCTATGCAGCTCTGATTTCTCAATTAGTACTTACCATGCCGGAAAATTATATTACATGACTTTGAGATACATAAGGAAGCATGGGACTTTGGGGATTTTTTTTTCTAATGTAATTATTACTTGTCATCAGCACTTACTAACTTTGGTCTGTTTCACCTTCTAGAGCTCCAAAATATGGGGGTAGGGCTGCAGCCACCTCATGCTATAGATCCTGCCAGGCAGTAGGAAACTCTGTCCTGTCAGGTTTTAATACAAATCATAGCTGTGTATCAGGAATTCCTCGGGTTTTCTATTCATAATGACTTTCTGAGCTCAGGAGTTCAGGAGCAACTAAGGTGTGTGCTGGAAGGACCTCAGACCCTAATAAATTGTCCTCTCTTCTATAGGTTCTTCCATTGAGGGCATGACCTAGTGTAGTTTGTTACAGGAATACCATTTTCTTACTTCAAGGTATAGAGTTTATGGGCAGATTTGCAACACTACTTGGTAACTGCCACCTTGGCATTGAGCTAAACAGCTATGAAGTTGGTTCCCACTTAGCCCATGAAGATATATCTGCATGAACATGTGCACATAATCATACCCTGGCTTGTGCACCAAGGCAGGACTTCTCATCTTGGCTGCGCCGTCACACTAACACTGATATGCCACTTCCGAGTCGGAGCTGGCTTATATCTAGCTCATTTTGCGGGCAAAGGAAATTAAGTGACTGTGTGCACACAGTATTTGACATTCCCTAAATGACACAGTCAGTTTCAAAAGTACTCAGTTCCCACAGCTCCTATTATTGAAATTCCTCTCACTGTATTTTCTGAATGCCAAGGAAAACTGGCACTGTCAAATCTTAGTCTTGCCTACATCAAACTAGAGTAAAATGAAACAGAAATGAAACAAGCAACCAAAAAGAAAACTGTAAGTATCTTAAGGGTTAATCCATCTCCTATCTTTCCTCAGAAGTATGAGCGAGTCTAAACTGACAGTTCTAGAGGTGAAAGTTTCATTTCTCACAAAAGTAGAAGAGTACAGATAGTAGCAGTCAAGTTCATAAATATTCCTCAGAAATGCTTTGAAGAACCCT